CAGGCCCCAAATTCTCTTTTGTCTTTCACTACATCTCAGAAAGTACATGTAAAGCCCAACTCCTTGTACTACTTAAAAATGTCCCTTTCCTATTCCTCTTCACCTAAGTCAGATACTGATTCTTTGTAAAATAGTGTCTCCTTCCTCTAAATTTCTGAATTCCCTAGATCAAGAGCCAGAAAGTTCCTACTGACCCTCTATCACAAATGATTATTTTGAAGCTGTGACTCCAGCTCTTACTGTTTTAACCTCTATTCCAGATAGATGTACATCATCATGATACACAGCCCTTAATTACAGTAGTGGCTCTTAAGCCCCCACTAAAAATCACAGATTAAAATCCTTTAAACTCACCAAGGTTCATCTTTCCCTTGCCTATTAACTCTACATGGAGGAGAAGAAGTGAAAAACAGCGGGTTTCCCTACTGCTCTCTAAAATCCCCACAAAAATGTAAAGTAAGAAACAGGAAAACAATCCAACCAGGACTTCACCAAAATTAGTAAACACAAAAAGTGAGAGAGTCAGAACCTACTGTTGAAGAGTGTCTTTGAAATCATTTAATTACAAAAAATCTCTAGCAAATCAACAAAGATCTCTGGCAAATCTCTGAAAGTTTAAAGGAAAAAGAAACATTCTCAAATCAACCTTTAAGTAAGCTCCAATAAGAGCTGAAGAGAATCTGTCTTCAATTGTAATCCGAGAGAACTGCTGACTGGAAACTCCATTCACTGAAATCAGGCCCGCTCTTACCCTGGAACTGAGATCTAGAAGTTCACTGAATTAGAGTCCCTGAGTACCAACTTCCTAGGTCCAGAGTGGTTCTTAGCAATTGGTGGGCTACAAAATGATGACTACAGAAACCCTGTGTTTACAGGGCTCAAAGAAGGCAGCACTACGATCTACCCAGTGTAAGGGTTAAGTAACAGCAAATTACTATAAATGGATGAAACAGCAGCCCAAAATTGTCTAAGCTCCCAAAAGACCTTAACCTCAGGTCAATGATGCCATCCTTCAATTGAGACACAGTGGTTGGCCAGCAGAGGGAAGGGGAGTAAAGTGTTCATTGACAGCACAAAATGAATGTATAGATTTTGAGATTTGCTGAGGGAAAAAAAGTCTGGCGAAAACACAAAAGGAAACCATATATTTAGTGATCTTTATGATGTCTAGGTGAAATTCCTTGAAGAGTAGCAATTCCTCAAAATAAATTAATGTTAAGCTTCAATTTTATGCTCTATTGTTTTCATATCCTTATTTTTTTAATCCTTATTTTCAGAATTAGTAAAACCTATTCAGCCTTCTAGAAATATGAATTTTGCAGCCAAGATAATAATGGTAATATAGAAGGAAATTCACTTCAGGGAAAGATTAACTGCTCACATTTTTTCCCCTCAAAATTACAGATCCATTTGAATATTTCATTGTTTACTAGATACACACTCCCAGACAAAATGAATATTGTCATTGCAACAAACCTTAATTTGAATGAGGTTATTCAAAACTATTTTAATAAGATTCTCTTTAATATATTTATATTTCATGTAGCTATACATCTAATCACATAATCTCAACTACAATATTACTTTTATATGTATTACTAACTTTGCGGTATCACAAATGCAAAACTTAAGCAAAAATTAAATATGTAGTTTAAAAGTTATTCTTAATTTAGCATTTAAAATTTCCTTTTCCAGGGCCCTCCCTGGTGGCGTAGCAGGTTAAAGCACAGCACTAAGAAGCTATAGTCACTTTAGTACAAGTTCAATCTCTGCCCCAGAGGTGACCCACATGGCGCAGCAGACCTCTCCTGACCCACCCGCTGCTCCTCTCAGCAGTATAGTTCGTTTATCTGCCTGTTCTGCACTCCACTTTGTCTCTAGTGAGTACTCTCACCACCCCTGCACCTCTGGCCTGTATCCCAGTTCTGTATGCATAAATAAGTAAATCTTTAAAAGAAAATGTTCTTTTTCAAGTTGAGTCCATTCACTACAGAATGGATTAACAAATGTATTCTCCAGTTTCCCCTGAAGAAATATATAACATCATATTTATATGATTTTAAAATTGCATACTGTATTTAAGGATGATCCAACTATAGTTTATTTTTAATATTTTCTGCAATTAAATCAGAGACTTTATGGCCCTCTCTCAAGTCATACTGAACTAAAATATGAATAAAAATGAGTACTGTAAGATTTTCTGAGGCACTTTCAAGCCTGTCTAAATTAATAAAATACTAAGTGAATTAGTACTGCAAAAGAAACTTTATCACTGATAATTTAAAATATTAATGCAAATACTTAACAGGTCAAACATTTCACATTAATCAAAGACATCATGTAAAGGTGGTTAGAATGAACATTTTCCTATCAGTAAAGTTTTCATGTCAGGTGATTTCCCCCCTTTTTCCCATATAAGCATAAAAAAATGTTTCTCTCCTTATATTCCTTAGGAATAAGAAGTATTCTGCTCTTCTAGAGATAGGATAGTATTAATTGCTTCTTTCAAGAATAGAACATTTGGCATAATACGTTTTTGCAGCGTTTTGTCAAGTAAGCAGGTAGGAGGGGTGAAATACCACAAATTGTCTGGCTTCTTATTCTCATGGCTGGACAGCCCAGAATCTCTTGGGTGGTGTGTGCATAGAGGTTGGGGATAGGAATTTAACAAATAGGCTTTTATAATATTTACCATTAAAAGAGAAACTAAAAGGAATTTTAGTATTCCAAATTTTATTTAGAATTAATGTTATTAGAAACTAAATCTTTTGTTAATGTTTCCCTTTACCATCTTTTTTGTTACAAAAATCTTCTCTAGCAGTAGTCTCCTCTTGACCTAATAACTGCTAAACTTAGTGGAATTTTGACAAAGCAGGTCCATAACATCAGAACAAGATTAGATTACTTTGTTTATTCTTATTACAAAAAAAGAGCCTACAATAATACTGCTTCACGATAAAATACACAGCTCTCTGGTCAAGGTGTTCAGGAGTGATTGGGCAGTGTTTTTAATTTATAGAAAGTTAAGACAAGGTCAGATTCCTGGCTATGTGTAGCCTGTTGTCTGGCACTTTTGCTGTTTGAGAGAATGCAGAGGCATTCATAAAATGAATTCTGTACAAGTAGCAGGCTTAGGTAATTGTCATGTGAGAATTCAAGAGAGCCAGATAATCCTAGAAAGTGGTTGTAAGATTAATGTAGCTTATAAGTGGGAGTCTGCAATATCATGGGAAGACAGAGCAAAGGTTGCAAGAGAGTGAGCTTAGGTGTTCACTCATCATCTATCTGGAATTGATCAAGAGGGTAAAAGAATTTATCACTTCTCCAGTATTCAATGAAGACAAACCCATTAACTCCACAAAAAGACCCAAGAGTAGATAGAACACTGACTTTAAGATGGTAACTGGACTATGAGGAAAGACATGGGGTTAAATTGTATAGCAGAAAACACAAGGTAACACAAAAACTGCCCTGCTTATGCAACTCTGTGGGGTTAGAGAAAGAGCAGCAGTAAAAGGACAGAACTCAAGGCTTTGCATGGTCCAATGTCTGGGGTGCCTGCTAAATGAAATGGAGAGCCAAAGGCAGTCATAACACTTTCCCAAAGAAATAATGGATTCATGCTGAACAAATTAACTTTAAATAACAGAAAGAAAGGAAAATCTGATGTATGTCCCACTTACTGGGATGTGGGAGACAACTGCTGGCAGGTTGCTATGATACAGCTATGGGCCTAAAGCCCACCACGGTGGAAGGACTTAAGACTTTAGTAGTAGTGCTCAGGCATCCGGTGAGAAACTTTATCATTTCAAATAAAGATGGAATATAAAATGTTGAAGTCAAAAGGAATCTTACAGATCATTAGCCTACCAATCTCAATTTGTTATTAAAAAAAAAAGTGGAAAGCTCAGAAGAAATGACTCAGACATAGTTCTAAGTTAATGGTAGATATTTAGTTCTTCATATTTAAGTCATATTAAAGTAGCTTACTCACATGTTATTGATATTCCTTGTCTATACAGCATTTGCTAAAATTACAGGATTACTTCTATTTTCATAAAACTCTCAGAAATACTATATTCAACAAGCTATTTTCAGGAAATTCTTAAATATCTTCAAGTAACAAGTATTTGATACATTAAGGACTTTATAAAATTATCTAAGTTATACAACACTAAATATTTCACCCTTAGTTTTTTGAAGAAAGTGAAATTCAGCATTATCGTGTAGAGTGCCCAAGATTTCACAGCTTGCATAGGAGGGATTCAAACCATAATCCAACTTTGAAAAGCCATGAAGCCTAGGAAGGGGTGTCTAAATTACAACAGCAAAATAAATTATCAACATGAAAACAAATTTGACTTATTAGAAGTTTACTATTTTATTTAAATTTACCTTAAGTGTTTAAAATGTACCTCTGGATCATACTCTAAAGAGTCAGTATTCATTTTATGTCATAGTAGTTCACTAGTACTTCATAATCACATTTGATCCTTAAACTCTATAAATTTTAAAACTGGAAATAGATCAGACTGTTTATGGAAAATTATCAACTTAGCTGTCCTTATTTTCACACCTGCATTTTCTAAGACTAAGAGTTTAAGTAAAATTAGCTATTAGTAAGGTTGAGACTGACGACTCTCACCACTCTCATTCTACTACCGCCCCACCAACCAATGATTCATGCACAAGCAAGGAATAGGTTTGCCAAACCCCATAGAAATTACTCACTTCTACCCTCTCTTCTCCAGTCATATTTCAAAACCTAATTTTAAACTCATGTAGAAACCCCAATTAATGCCACCTGGTCTTGTCTACTCTTAACTCTGGGTCTCTTCCTGTAGTTGTTTGCATGTGTGTCCAGCCTACAAGAATCACCAAGAAGAGTTTACAAGGTTATTTCTTCTAGGCTACACCCTAACTCATTCTCCTCCCCGCCTAAAGCACCACCAACCAAGCTCTATAAATAGTTGTCACTTAATAAATGCTGATTGACTTACTACAGTGGAACAAATCGCCTCTGGTATGTCTCAATATCCCAGTGACTCCTCCACATCTATAAACATGCTGGAGATGATACCAGGTACTGCTAGAGGCTTGGGATCTTCCTGAGGGTGCCTGGGACAAGAAAAAACACAGAGAGAGACCAAAGACAGTCAGGAGAAACACAGAGAGAGGGGACAAAGAAATAAGAGAGTAGAATAAAGAGTAAGAGGAACAAGAGTCAGTACTTATAGAAAGATTAAGCAACCAAAGACACTCAGAGACAGGGAGAAAGTCAACTATCTGAACTTAGGTTTTGGTTTGGAAACTTCAATTATGGCGTTATTTACTTAATGTAACAGGTGACTTCATGCTGTGAAATTTATGATCTAATCCACCATTTTAATGTCATTTCTAAGGCTTTTCTGAGTTTCTATCTTTACCCATTAGTAGTCATCTTTACACAGTCTCAGCACTGGAGACTGTCAGACACAGTCCCCCAAACAAACATAAGAAAAGAACTTTTCCCAATTCTCCTATTTAGAAATTTCAAAAAGGTAATGTCACTTGTCCAAAGTCACAAACAAGAACATAACTGGGCTCAAATTTTCAAATTTCAAAATTTGTACCTTTTTGATAACTTATGCTGTCTCTATGAGAAGTGACATATATAAAGCCCAAATTGTTCTATAAAGTTCAAATTGCATATTCAAAATAAAATTATCTTATGGGACAGAACTATACAGTTTAGTCACAGGACTGATTTGCTTCAGGGATTTACTTTTTTAAAATCTATCAAAATGGAAATATGAGAATAACAGGAAATTTTCAAATAGCAATGAAATCAAGTCAACAGCAACTTGATGAAATCTTAATGTTTATAAAAGGAACCATAATCAGTTCATTGCATTTACTGCTTTGTAATTTCAGTCTTAATGATGTAACATTTTTAGTTGAAATATGAATAGATGCTCTACATTTCAGTAAATTCTTAAACCTCAGTTACTAGTAAACTTGTCTCATAATTGACCTGCAATTCAATTTCAGGGTAGTACGTATAGTAGAAATGACTTAATGCACCACTCTTGGTAATCATTAGTATTTTCTCTTGAGGGATACTTACACTCTTCTAAATTATCATGCCCTTTGGAAGCAATCAATACAATTGCCAAAAAGGCTCCTTTGATACAAATGTAAGCATGTTATCGGATTTCACAGCAAGTCAGGGCAATAATAGTACAAAGAAATCTCTACTTAGTTGTGCATCAACATGTTTTCTCATGTTCAGCAATTTTTACAAGAGAAATTTTCAAATAAAGCCTAAAGTATAGTACTGCTCTGCCCTCTAGTGACTGGACAGGTTTTACTACCTAATTGCTTTTAAAATCCACAAAATTGCAGTAAAAAGACACCTACTGACAGTAACGTTTTCTATGTTGATAAATACTTAGATTACAAATTAACATTTATGAAAATTCAGAGAACGTACATTTAAGATTTGTGCATTTCACTACATGTAAATTTAACATTACAAGAAAAAACGTGTGTAATTACCAAACCCTAGTCAATAATATACAAGCTGAAGCATTAACGAGAGCTATAGTGATATCTAAAATTTATTTCTAAATATACCCAAAAAGTAACTGATGATGGCTAGATTACAGATATTGAATTTATATAATAAGTACAATAAAATGTTAATTGCTAGATCTAGGTGGTTACTATATGAATGTGAGGCTGTATGTTTAAAAAGTTTCATAATAAAATGTTGGGGAAAAATACATCTACTCAGAGTTGATATTAAAATTAAATATAGACTCATTGCCTTACAATCAACGTGGTGTGTGATAATGTGATGAAAGCAAATTAAAAATGATTTATCCCTAGTAAGAAGATAGGCATCTCCAAACTGGAGTTCTTGCCATCCAGGAGTAAAGCTTAAATTTCAAATACATCATAAAATTGTATAAGCCATGCAGGCAACATAGTTTTTCAAAGTTCAAAAGAGCTGATTTGAATCCTGGTTCTATTCTTTAAATAGGAAGCTCAAAGTATTTAAATATTCCAGCCTCAGTTCTCTCAGGTATAAAATGGGTCTAATGATCCCTCCATCTAATAGTCACCGTGACGATCAAAAAATGCACACTGAAAATGGGGGGGAGAGGTATTAGCATATCAAATGCAAATAATAACAAATTCCATTTTTGCCAATTTAAGCATGATTATAGTTAGTGAAACTTATGTGCCCTCCTGACTACTAATCTGTGCAAATGGGGACAAAAGTGGCTATGTGTCCAATCCTAACCCAGAAACTTCACGTGCAGAAGGTCCTGGAACTCTGGAGGGCTTTCTAATGATCTTTATTAAAACAGTAGACCTTATTTAAAATATCGTTGTACTTAGAGCAAAAGGAGAACTGGCAATGATAGGGAATTCATGAGTCATCCCTCTGTTTACTGCCAGTCACAATAAAAGTCCTACGAGTGAGGCATTAGTGTGCTTCTTGGTGATATATTACACTTCCATGCATTTGAGGAAATGAAATTAGCACTTAGGTAAATTTTGACTTGAAGTCATGTAAGGTAACATGTTTAAGAAGAGAAAATTAAAAACACATTTAAAGAAGATGAGTTCTATGCTCCCAGAAAATGGCTAAAAATCATAAATCGCTGCATGAAAACCAAAACACATACAGGGTTGACTGAAGAAAGAATGAAAAGGTTGGAATTAGGAGTGGAAATATCAGAAACCCATTCTGCCATGACTGCTCCACAAAAACTGCCTTCTTCAAAGGACCAGGGAAACCTACCCAAACATTTAGATGTGTCTACTTTTCAAAACTTTGTTGAAAAACTATTTTCCATCATTCTATGCACTACATTGCTTTTCCCAGCACAGACACTATTGTTTTCTTTCCTTTAGACTTCTCCTTACAAAGAAAAGTGAGTGTTCTCATATGTTCAAATGTTCTTTTGAAAGACTTTCTACTTTCACCAATTTTTAGAGTCCTCCTAAGAACCTCTCTCTTAAGCCTATACCTATCTTCAGTCTAAATCTCTTCCAAATTTTTAACTATACCCTAAACTTCATTATATGGATATTCTCTCTGCATTTAAAATCTAATCCATCCCAGACTTCTCCCAGACAAACCAGTCTCTATGAGTCTGTATTTCTGATAGGAGTATTCTATGAAAACCTATACTTAAAATCCTGTCTCTAACTTCCTTGTTAACACTACACTACACTACACTACACTACACTACACTACACTACACTACACTACACTACACTACACTACACTACACTACACTACACTACACTACACT